TAATAGTCTGTCGGGTGTAGTGACTGCAAGTGCACAATCTAATCGCGTAGTTTTAAAAGATATTGAACCCACAAGGACTGATGGTCAAACTACTGTTATCTAGGGTCACTGTGTAAGGCTAAGGCTAATAATAAAACTTGGATGTTGGGGTTTAAACGGGAATTAACTAAGATCTAATAATTGATAACGGGACACCGGTATGTAATTTGTCGACTTCAGGGATTCAATGAATCATTGGAATAGATTTGAGTATTAAAACACTATTTCAGTGGAAACTATTAATTTAAAAACATTTGTCTCACACTCTTGTTCTATCGATTCATGCCATATTATTAAACTCAAATGAGCGCTCTCGCTGTGTCATTTAAAATCTAAAAGTATTTTTTGAAAACAAATTGAATCCAACTAATTTTAAAGTGCTCTCGCTGTATTTAAAATTAATGTTCAATTACCACTATCTGGTTAAAATCTCAAACTTCTTCTCTGTTGATTTTATCCTTAGTCTGTCTTTTACTCTCGTAACAAAAAAATTTAATATTGAAATTGGAAACCAAAACCAGAAACGTGTCTTTGTAAATATTTATGCGAATTAATTACCGAACCCCTTCGGTTTATGCCTTCATATTCCGATATCGGGATAGTTAGCCGGACATAGTTTTATTGCGTAATAATATAGAATAAAAATATGCATACACAAATATAATCATGGTAAAATAAACTGACTGTATTAATTAAATTTGAAACCTGAAATAAAGTACTGAAAGAATATAAGTATCGCACACAATCCTCCACAAGCCGGCAGGATTTTTCCTTGGAATAAAATAACTTATAGAAAAATAAATAAACCTAAGCAAAGTTCTGAAAATTGAGAAGAAAACTAATGGTGCAATAATCCTCCGGTGTGGAGAAGTATTGCTTTAATGGTGATCGGTTCTTTCTGCTTAAAGAATTCTAAAACGAAAACAAAAATGTTGAAATCTCTAAATTGGAATAATAAGCTCAATGTGCAGAAGGAAAATAATTTTTGGAGAGGGCGCTCCAGAGAGCTTCCTTGGTAACTTCCTTTCCTTATATGGATTCTCTTTGTTGAGGAAAAATAAGGACAATTACTTGATTCCTGTTCTCCGTGCGTGGAAGAAAATCCGGATGAAATGTGTTTCTGGAGAAGACTTCGTATGTAACTGAAACAAAGAAAGAGACTTGTGTGTTGTGGGAGCGGCACATATTTCATTACGCGGGGCATGTATTTTTTCCCTGTGCCGATCAACATGCTTTGTGTGCCTAGGGGCACACATTCAAACTTTGTGCCGACCTTCAGGCTTTGTGCACCGAGGGGCACACATCTAAACCTTGTGTCGATCGTTAGGAAGCTGTGACGACCGTCACAACCTTCTGATATGGATTCTTCTGCATTTTTATGCTAAACAGCCATTTCTTCTCCATTTCTTTAACATTATTATTCCTTTTATCATGTAGGCTTTGCAGAGAGTAAATACCTGAAACATACTACAAATACAAATATAATGCAACATAATTAACAAAAATCGGAAACTTTATCTATGTAATTCGGGCGAAATATGCTATGACTTTTCGTGTTATCAATAATGATCAAAACATTCTAGTTGAGAGTGTGTTCTACCCACCTGCACACATGACCACACTGTGTTTGGGTGGAGACAAATCATCATTTGAATGGCCACACAACCCCCATCTTCCGCAGGAGGGTGACATAGTTGTCGGTAACCAATTCAAAACCAAATCTGATTGTCTATTTGCTATATCGAACTATCACATGAAACACAGTGTTGATTTCAAGGTGATATATTCTGATATAACAAGATATGGAATTATCTGTAAGCAAGATAACTGCAACTTTCGTCTGGTGGCGTCTTATAGAAAAAGGAGCGACTTATGAGAGATAGGAATCATGCACTCCCCACACAGTTGTTCAACAACTATCTTTAACCAGGATCATAGGCAACTAAGCTCCCAATTAATGTGTGAACGATTAATGCCATAGTAGATAAGGATCCCTCCATCAAAGTGAGCATCTGTATTAACGAAATTGTTTCCATTTTCAAATACACCTTGTCTTACAGAAAAGCATGGATTGCTAGAAATAAAGAAATCGAACAAGTGTACGGTAATTGGGAAAATTCATACAATGAACTGCCAAAATACTTGTTAGCCCTTAAAAAATATGTTCCAGGTACGATCGTAGAAATGCAAACACTTCTGTTATATACATATGACGGGACTACTGTTGTTGGGAAACAAATCTTCCTCCGGCTATTCTGGGCATTCCAACCATGCATACGAGGCTTTGCATATTGCAAGCCTATACTACAGATTGATGGTACGTGGTTATATGGTAAGTACAAGGGTACATTACTAATGGCGGTGGCACAAGATGGAAACAATAATATTTTCCCAGTTGCCTTTGCCCTTGTGGAAGGTGAGACGACGAATGGTTGGGGTTTTTTTCTACAGAACTTGAGAATGCATGTAGCTCCTCAACCTGGCCTATGTTTGATTTCCGAAATGCATGCTTCTATCAAAAGCGCATACAACAATTCTGAAAATGGTTGGAATAATCCTACATTTGTCCATGTGTTCTATATCAGACACATTACGCAAAATTTCATGAAGGAAATCAAGGACCGAAACCTCCAAAAGAAACTTATCAACATGGGTAAGTATCTTTATGCAGACATTAAATGTTAGATAAATTTAGTATACCATAACATTAGCCCATATTTTTTATAACATGTAGGATATGCTTTAAACTAACCAACGTTTAAATATTATCGTAATGAAATTGGCATGGCTAATGGTGATGCTTTAAGGTGGATAGACAAAATTCCTATTGAAAATGGATAGGGCATTTGACAAGGGTCGACGTTGGGGTCACAAGACAACAAACCTTGTTGAGTCGCTGAATTATGTATTTAAAGGCACTCAGAATCTGCCCATCACAGTGTTGGTAAATGCAACATACTATAGGATGGGGACACTATTTGCTCACAGGGGTGCACAATGGAGTGCAGTGTTAAATTCTGGACAAACATTTACAGAGCGGTGCATGAAGCTCATGAAAGAAGAAATAGAAAAATCCACCACGCATCAGGTAAGCGTTTTTTACTACAACCATAACAGTTTTAGTGTGAAGGAGATAATTTACCACGGTGAGGGGAAGGCTATGGGATGTTACAAGGTCAACCTAATAGATCATTGGTGTGACTGCGGAAAGTTTCAAGCATATCGTGTTCCTTGTTCACATGTTATCACTGCATGTTCCATGGTGCGCCAAGACGCCTATCTTCTATTGTCCGACGTTTACAAGGTCACGAACTTATTCGGGGTTTACAGTGTTGCACCCTAAAATTTGCCCTCCTATCTTTCCTATTATCTGGCTTAGGCTTTTGTATTCATCTGCATATATTCTATTAGGTCACTAACATAGCATACATTTGCATTCAATAAAACACTTGGGTTCAATAAAATCAGTGGTCATGGAGCTAGGATTTTCATAGTGTTTTGAGATGTATATATTCAATAAAACCCGATTTCTTCTGGCTCTTCAAGCAGAAAGTGTGGATTGAGGTTTATTTGTCTATGCTCGGATTTTCTTGTCAAGAACTCAAGGGTGTGACCTGACATACATGGTCTTTGAATCAAGATATCTCCTCATATGTGTGTGCTTATTATTTGCTCGAGGTTAATGACTATAGCATTGTTGCATTAGATTCATTTGTTCCTCAATCAATCAATTAAGATTATCTGTGTTATGATTCAAGATACTTTGGTTGAGGGTTTTATTGCTTGATAGTTAAGACATTGCGAATAATTGGTACAAGCTATCACTTGGAAATTCATTCAAGAAATTTGGTTTCAAAAATGGATTAAGGTTCAACTTGATTCAAAAAATAGCGTGCCCGAAGGTTTAGTTCATAAATTCTTGTGGAGGAAGATGGTGTATGATCATAAGTTGAGATTAAAGTACACGACATCAAGTAAATTTCTTCATAATTCAAGTTGTTATTTTCAAGATTATTCCACATCATTGTTCATCCCAAGGTAAAAGATAAAAAGGTTCATTCAATAACATTCAAGTGGTTATCATGGTTCTCTCAAGTTCATCCAAGTGTTCATTCAAGTTTAATTTGAAAGAGAGGAATGTTTTAAATAATTGGGAATTTGTCATGCAAGAGTGTACAAAGTTACATTATCATTACAACTTCAAAGCATTGTCATTATAGCATAAAATGTCATTTACATCAAGTCTATCCATGGTTCTAAACTTATGTTATCCCTAATCTTCAAATATATCTTTATGCCATAAGAATACTTCTCATGACTTGCCATTAGACATTCCCTTGTTCACTTTAGGCATAACCTGTATAAACAGAATCGAAGGAAATCCAAGACAACCCTTGCACAAAATTAATCCTCTCACCAATAAGTCTGAATATCTTGCATCCCATTGTATATCACCAAAACAGAAAAAATACTAACATTAAAACTGACACGACACCATAACCTGCATTTATAAACTAGATCCAGATCATCAAAAACCGTCCATAAGAAAACAATTTACATTCAAAACATATTCGTTTCAAGTGGCCTGCAGCAATTCAGCCAATGTTCAAAGATGGCACAAGTTTATATCGACATCTAAGCTCAACAATTAACAAAAATGAGAAAATTTAACTTGAAGCCAACAGAAAATTTCAGCTATGTATATCAGAAGTATATAAACATAAAAAATAAAAAATCAGAAAAAAGAGTTTTATCAGTACAAAAGACAGCTCAGCAAAACTTGCTAACAAAGCCTCATTACATATTCAAATCTCGACCATCCATTCCTATAACAAAATTTCAGAAAGCAATGACTCGGATTCAGTTTTGTTGTAACAAACTTTTCTACTGATAATAAAAATATAAAATAGAACCTGAGATCGATTCATTCTTCAACTCTCTCTCTCTCTCTCTCTCTCTGAATGTGCATCCCCTTCAATCTCCCTCTGCAACCTCCATCTCTGAACCATACTTTCTTCAAAGCTCTGCAACCTCCATCTCTGAACCATACTTTCTTCAAAGCTCTGCAACCTCCACCTTCAATCTTCACTTTCCTTCTTCATCGTCAACCTCCAATCAACAACAATCCACAACAATCATCATCAGCACCAATCCGTGAATATCTTCATCTTCATCACCTTCAACCTTCATTTTAGCACCATCTTCATCGCACAGATAACCGAATCCGCGTCAATAATGTCACAAATCAACGACATCTCGCAACATAAAATGAGACAAATTCAGAATCGCACAAACACGAAGAAGGAAAAAGGATTGCAAAAGCGTTATAGGCGACATACCTAACAATTTCCTCTGGTCTTCTTATCATCATTGTCGGCTTGGAGAACCATCAGATTTGCTCTGGTCAGTAAGCATCTCACTCTTCTTGCGATGTATTTTCATTTTATGCATTAATCTGAAGTTGGAGATGTGAGGAGAGGGACCAGAATCAAATCTGAAGCTCAAAGTGAATCGAAGGTGAACTTCGTCAGGGATGGAGGCGTGAACGGCCGGAGACAGAGATAGATGCGAAGAGAGTGAGAGGGAGCAACATGATTCAAGGTTGGAAGTTGGACTGAGTTAGGAGATAGTGAGAACCGGACCGGAGACGGTTGAGAATGGCGTCAGATTTGGGAAGAGATGGAGTTTTATTGTTACAAGAAGAAAAAGACACAAGACGAACCCGAATTCCCTTTTATATTTGACATTTTTTTATTTTTTTATTTGTTTTTTTTAATAAAGTCTGTATAATAATGAAACAAATAAGTGAAATATGGTTTAGATGTTTTATTGGTTTAATGGACCGGACCACACCTCTTGGGCCGAGTGGCATTCCCTCATAGGCCCATACCATTTTCGTAGCATGATGGAAAAAATAATGATAAAAGCTTGCTAAAAAAAGAGAGGATGGTTATGGACATTAGTGAATGGGCCTTAGCGCCAGCTTACTGCGTCATAGTCCCTGATTCAGCTTAGCACCCCCCCTTGATCATCTTATTTTCTTTGTTAGATTTAGGACTTACCTTTTAATTTTTCTATATTTCTTTATGATAAAAAATTACAAAATCAATGAAAATTTGTTAGATTTTTTAATTTTTTAATTTTAGGAGTTAATTCATGATTATTTGATTACTTGAGACTCGTGATTCACGTTTTCTTGTCGAGATTTGAGTCTTATGCAGGTTTATTGTGTGATATGCAAATATGCTTGAGTTTCTTATTGTGATTTATTTTCACATTATTGATGTTTCGACGCTTATTCCGAGCATTTGATTTTTGAATCTTTTCAGTTGCTTGGTGAAGTTTGCTCGAAGTTTTCCGAGTTTCTCTGCTTTGCTCACTGTGTTATGAATTCTTGTCTATTTGGTATCATTCTGATTCTGGTTTATTTTTTCACATTTTACCACTTTTTATATATCATGAGAAGTAGGAAATAAAGAGTGTGCACTCAAAGTCGTTGTTTAAAAGTCCTGTAGCAGGAATTCTGCACTTGTTTTCTAACTGTGTTTGTTGTTTGTTTAAAGACCTACCTCAAAGTAGGCGTTTATGTAGTGTGTTTATATTTGTGCCTAAAGACCTCAGAGAAGGCACTCATTCCCATTCCCCTTTGATAAGTCCTCAAAAGGAGGCAAGCGGAGAAGGTTCTCAATCAAACCCCACATTTCATCTGTGTCATCCTTAGATCATGACGCACCATGATGCTTCGGAGTTATGCATACTCTTGCTATCGAGTCGTCATGTGGAAAAGGGTTTCGTAATCAAATCCCCACATTTTGTCTTGAGCTCACATCAGGCGATGTTGATGCTCCAGGTTTTTTCACTCCCCCCTTACTCTTCTTGCCTGGTAATACAATGTCGTGGTATAGACGCTTTGTTCCCACAGATAGCTTGTTTGCCTCAGTTGATATGACCACTTGGATAAAGCTAGCTTGTTTTCCTCGGTAGATATGACCCCTTGGGTAAAGCTTCCTCTACATCTCGCCTTGATTCATGATATCTTGGTTAGGCCTCTTTGACTTGAGTTAGTCTTCACTACTCATGACATGTGTGTGCTCTCTTGAGCTTGTTGATTACTTTCTTTCCATCCTTGTGTACATGTTTTCTTAGGTTGTGAACCTTTGGCATGTTCTCTTAGGAGCTCTTGATTCACCCTTTGGTGGTGATTCCGTATAGACGTAGGTTTAGGTTGTGAACCTTTGCTATGTTCCCTTAGGAGTTTTTGATTCATCCTTTAGCGGTGATTCGAGATAGACATTAGGATTGTAATCCATGCATGCTAACATAGTGTAGAGACTTCCCTTTCAAAACTCAACCTTAGGATCAATCATTGTATGATAATATTAGGGATTAGATTCTATCTACTTTCCCTTAGATATTTTTTTTCTTTCTTTTGCGTCCTTGCATTAAGACTAAAACCTCTTTTTCTCGGAAAATTCATAAAACATCTAACAACTTTCAAATCCTTTTTCAAGGTAAAGAGCACCAACCAATGCAAAATCTTTTCACCTTCGGGCCTTTCCCTTTCTAATAGACTTTTTAAAAGAAAATTTAATTCACTTCGGTGCTGACGCGTAAGTCTCCAAAGGTCGAGCTGCGGTAGAAGGCGAAATTAATATTGTTTATAAAAAACACAAAACAAAACAAAACATGAGAGTCGAACTATGACGCTCTGATTCCTTAAAAAGGATACGTAGGCATATGATCACGGGGCTCAGCCGAGCAAAACTTTTTAAATATTTCCTTCTTTTCCCCATGTTTTCTTTTGCATGCATTCCCTCTTTGAATTTTTCTTTTAGCACGTAACCTTAGATTTGAACACACCCTTTGATTAGAACAACAACAATGAATACTGTAGAGTACTATGAGCGTGTGGGGTGATAATACCTTCCCCTCGCGTAACAGACTCCCTTACCTGATCTCTTGGTTGTTTGGTCGTGATTTTACCCTTCTCAGTTTTACTCGATGTTTACCTTTCCCTTCCCGTGGGATAAAAAATGTTTGATGGCGACTTCATTAATTTCATCTCGATGATTTGTTCAGCCGGTTGTTTCAGCTGGAGACTTCACTGGGGACAGATCGACCAAATATTGGTCCATCCTAGAGTCGCTCCTAGCTCTTGCATCTTATCGCTTTCCATATTGGTTAATGTGTTGTGTTGTATTCTGGTTTTCCATGTTGGGTGGGTGTTACTATGAGGTAAAAGGCCCAGTACCCAGGCTAGAGTGCACTATCTAAGAAACCTAGGAATGGAGTAGAACATGACGACTATTGTACGAAGGTCCTACCAGTGCGGTCATGTCGTCTATGCTTAGATGAGGTTCAAATTAGGTATTATCATCATCCACGTTTGTGGCTTGATGGTAGTGCTTTCAGGAGAGCCTGTGATTTTGAGTTACCATTGACCTACCCTGACCTAGTCTTTACCTGTGAGTGGGGAGGGAAAAATATTTACAGGTACAGATGGTGACTATGTTCTATTAGTGATTGTGTTTTATTGGTGAATATGGTTCTTTGGTTATGTTCTGGACCTTTGATCCTGATATATTCAACTTGTTCAGAGATTATAAAATAGTTATTCATGGTAATCGGTTCTTTGGTATTCTGAGATTGGTGCCGAACCTTTGATCCTGATATGTTTAACTTGTTCAGAGATTATACAACAGTTATTCATGGTACTCAGTTCTTTGGTATTCTGAGATTGGTGCCGAACCTTTATTCCTGTGATATTCGAGTTATTCAGCAGATTTATACAGCAATTATCTAGAGGATTATACATATGTTATCTGATTGTACATATGTTATCCCTGTTTTGCTGAACTTTTGAACCTATGGTGTTGCATTGCATCAATCATTATAAAATTTTATTTCTCTTATCATCCAAGAATTCTCATGCATTTTATTCATTTCAGCCTGGATATTCATTGAAACCTGGTTTCTTATTTAGAATCTCAAGATCTCAAGACTGACTTCCCAACATCGTCGTCATCATGGATCAACTTCAGGCAGACGTGGTTGAGTTGAGAACTCGTATGGATACCCATGTGGATCAATTCGTGGAGCTTATTTAGAACCTCGCCCTTGGACAAGAAGAGTTGAGATAGAATCTTCAGAGGGTCACAATTGATACTATTGATCACGTTAATCCACCGGGTGTTAATCTTAACCAAAGGGAGGTTCCTTTGAATCAGAATGTCAAGAATACGGTTCAGATTCCTGTCAATGGAGCTACTCACCATGAGAATATTTCTGAGTCGTCATATGACACCTTCAGGTTCCCGATTGATGAGACTAAGTCTGCGAAAAAGATTCACCTCCTGGAGGAGAGGATGAAAGCTATTGAAGGTCGTAATTCCCTTGGTTTAGACGCTGCTAGTTTGTGCTTGGTTCCTGGTATCAAGATTCCTGCTAAGTTCAAAGTCCCCACTTTTGAGAAGTATCAGGGTACTACTTATTCAATGACTCACATCAAAGCCTATTGCAATAAGATGGCTCCTTATGTGTAAAATGACAAGCTTCCCATTCATTTCTTTCAGGATAGCCTCAATGGAGCATCTCTTGAGTGGTATACTCAGCTTGAAAGAACTAACATCCAAACTTGGAAAGAATTAGCTGAAGCATTTTTCAAGCAGTACAACTACATTAGTAACATGGCTCCTACCAGAATTCAACTCCAAGATTTGACTCAGAGAGGTCCTTATTTGACTGTTGGATGCGCTTCTGAATTTCCAAAAATGATTATGATAGGAGAACAAATTGAGCATGGTCTTAAGACTATTAAGATCCAGGATGTTGCTACTACTTTTAATTTCGCAGATCAGGACATCAAAGAAACTAGTGCATTCTCCGAGGATGAAGAAGAAGCTCCTGCTTATCCTTCATTTCAGATTCCTTGTAATGTGACCGAAGCTACTCCTAGCCAGGATGATCTATAGATTTGTGTTGTAATTGTTAACTAACCATCGGCTCAACCTGTTAAGTATGCTCCTTGCTAGCAAACCTATCGACAAAGACGTATGCCATAGGGTAAGCAAAGGGGCATGAAGCCAAAAAGAGTGTTCGACATTGTTCATATGACTTTTGGCCAGTTGTTACCTCAGTTGCTCAAGCTTTCCTTGGTGGAACCTGTAGTGGTAGAAATGTTTAAGACTAAGCCATT